AAAGGGATTCTAATTGATTAAAAATCAAGAAAATAAAATCATATCAGACTCCACAAAAACATTCCTTTCATGAGTGCGTGAAAAATGACAAGTTTTACCCTTCATATCATGTGTCTCATACGTATTAAGTCACAATATGGTGGATGTACAACTGAGCCCGCGGCACAATCCATCCTAAGGTATGTCGGATCTTGCTGAGCGTGTTCAGCAACCTGCTCTTATGCCAATTGCAATTACTTGTAGGATGTCTAATAATGCATATAGAGGGGGTGAATAGGCCAAATTAAAATTAAAATTAAAAAATGAAAATAAACTTCATTGCAGGATTGATATGGCTTATCAATCCTGAAACGTGCAAAGCATAAAATAAAGGAACGCACATAGAGTTATTTTACTTGGTAAAACCCCACCTTTAGGAAAAATCCACGGAACTCCTCAGTCCAAAACAAATCCACTACAGAACGATGATTACAAGAAGTACTCACACACTTATCCTAGACACATTCTAGATAATGTTTACTGACTTCTTTGTAATTCAACTTTTGTCGCGAGATGACCTTCCAACTCTCCTTATGTTGAACCCGATACTGGTCACAATCGATTCAAGCTCATAGGAGAAAAACCGCCACCACGGTTTTGGTGCCTTTAACTGTATGAGTCACTGAATTATGCAAATGAATGCAATATGAATAATGAAGTGTTTGATAAATCACTAAGTAAACATGGAACACTTGAGGATTTATCTCAAATAAAAAACATAGCTTTCTTAAACATTTAAGCACACAAAACTATTGTTGAAAAAGCTATCTACAGGAAAACACAAAACCTTGTTTTTATAGAGGTTTTCTTCATATGAAGAAATTTACGTACTAAGTTTCCATTCTTCAAGGCTAGAAAAAAATCACAATAGAATATGTCTTATTCTAAATGCAAATCATGTGTAAACCAAGCACTCATGAAAGGAGATGCTCAAGAAAGAAGATTTTGACCAATCACAATATCAAAGGAATCCTTCTATGTTTAGATAAACTATTAATAGCATCTTGACTCCTTGATATTAGGATATAATTCAAAAAATGATTTCTAAGCAACCAAAACATGTTAGAAAATTAAGGGGATGTTAAAACATGAAAGCAAGATAATCAAATTGATTTGGGCAAAAATTGCCTAAATGAGATGCACTCCTAAAGGGATTCTAATTGATTAAAAATCAAGAAAATAAAATCATATCAGACTACACAAAAATATTCTTTTCATGAGTGCATGAAAAATGACATGTCTTACCCTTCAGATCATGTGCCTCATACGTGTTAAGTCACAATACTGGTATTCAGAGATTACTGAGCTGTTTCAATCTTGTAGTTTTTGGAAACCTGAGACATCAATTTTTCTCTAACCCTACAGCTAAATGACACTTCCAAACCTATACTAAGTTCTAGGAAATGTAAACACAATTTCATGCTAATATGCATGAGCCAATCCAAATTTCTTTCATCTCTCAACCAAAAAAGGAGATGATTTTCAACAGTCGATTATCAACCATTTTGGAATAAACTACATACTTATTAAAGGTGGGAGTAGGGTCTTGTCTCTTAGCATAGGAGTGTATATAGACTGGCCCCCACACCCTTCAAATCCCCTTATCTAGTAATTTTTTTTTGGCTCTAGATGCTAGAGGTAGGGTAGATTAATAATAATTTGAGTGACTATTCCATATGCATGGTGGATTAACTTTTTGAAAGTTGTATGAGAATGTTATAATTAATTCAAAACTAATAAAGATATCACACCCCAAGCATACATTTGATGGGAATCAATGAAGGTAGGGAAGTAAGGGTGTGAATTAAAAGAATCTATACAAGGTGTGGCAATAAAAGAATAAGACAAACTAAAGGGTCTTTAGATAAATAAAATTTTAACATATCCTAAAAAGATACTCTAAACTCAAAGCCCCTTTTTTTTTTTACCCCATTTGGATAATTAGCATCCCTTGGCCTATTTACATTATGGGCTTTCACTTGAAGCCTCATTTTCAATCCTACTTCTATTTCCATGTGTGTGGCTTAAATTTCTCTTTGAACAATTGTCAACAGTCAAGACCCTTGTACAAGTCTTAACTTGAAGCCCTTCACTCTCTTGGTCACAACCCCATTTCATTTTCTAAAACACTTGACAAACACTCTGCTATGAATGATCAAAGGGCTAGCACAAGCCAAGGAATACAAGATCATGATGATCATGGTGAAGATGAGCAAATCATCAGGGACATCCACGCCTTGACACCACCTCACGCACCGCCACAGCTGGCTAATCGCGGCCGAAGAAGGGAAGCTTGGGAGACTAGTAGCCATAGATCATCATCTTTGTCCATGGCTAGCTCAGAAGGTGCTCCAAGTGAAAATTTCAGTAGCATAAGTAGAGAGTTCAGTGCTCTAGTGGTTGCAGGATCAGCTATTGGGACTAATAATAGTACCAATGATAATGATAGTGCTACAAATCATGGGAACAATAACTTGGGCAGGATTGGAGAGGAGGACAATATGCCTGAGGAGGAACTTAACCCTTTGGCTATAGTACCAGATAATTACAACCCATCAGAGCCAATTGCTTCTCCAAGAGAAGCTGGGGCTAGGAATTATGCAGTTGGGTCTTCATCAGGCATTGCTGGGACTCAAGGTCATCAAGGAGGTGATCAGGTGGTTTCTGTGCATAGGGTGAAGAAAGAAGAGGTGGAGACGAAGATATCAGCTTGGCAAAACAACAAGATTGCCAAGCTTAATAACAGGTTTAAGAGGGAGGATGCTATCATTAATGGTTGGGAAAGTGAGCAGGTTCAGAAAGCTTCTTCTTGGATGAAGAAAGTTGAGGTATGTGGGCATAATTAATCTTGATGAAAGTGCTATTATTATTCTGCATGTGGGTTAATTATTTCCTAATTATCCATGTTGGAAATTTTGCTCATGATGGTTTCTCTGACTAGTTGAGATTAGGATGGTTTGCAACTTTCTTTTTCACTGATTGCATACTATTTGCCATCCAATATTTTTTGAGCATGTTTTTGGTCAAACAAATAATCAGAATTTTGATGAAATTGTTATCTCTCATCATAATGTTATGACATACTTTCTTTTGGTGAAACTATTATCTTATAAATTTTTGTGCTCGTCTAATTTGTGCAGAGGAAGTTGGAGGAGAAAAGAGCAAGGGCCCTGGAAAAGATGCAGAATGATATTGCCAAAGCTCATAGAAAAGCAGAGGAGAGGAAGGCGTCAGCTGAGGCTAAAAGGGGAACAAAAGTGGCAAGAGTTCTTGAAATAGCCAATTTAATGAGAGCTGTTGGAAGAGCACCTGCAAAAAAGTCCTTCTTCTAAGCCTTAAATTACCATTTTCCATATGCCATACCCCCCAAAAAAAAAAAAAAAAAATATTAGGCAAAATAAATGTCCCACAATCATATAAGGGCCTTTTCCTTTTGAATGAAGGCACCTCAATATGATGGAATTGGGCAATGAAGAGTGGCATTAAGAGAAAATTATAAATTAGGGATTTTGAGTGCTTGTGATTGATGGTTATTTTTGAGTGCTTTAAGTGTGCTGGAATTTTGGGATGGATCTGTTAGTTATAGTGGTGAAAGAAGCTTCTGGATCTTGTACAGTTTTCTTATTCTTGGTCAGGAGTTAGTGTTTATTGTTGTAATACATATAATTTTCTAAGCATAATTTCGTGTATCTTCCACCTATGAAATGCAATGGTAATTTGTTTACTGTTTATTATTATTTGAAAGAAAAAATTGTATTTAAGAACCAACCAAAAGATGGTTGCATAACACATAATCAGATTAGTTTGAGTTGGCCTGATTTGCCTCTTACTTACCTAACCACAACAAATGAAAGAACTTATGTTAATAAAATGCCACACCAGATCTAAAAGCAGAAGATAAAGCAGACGTGGGTTAGGTAAGTTGTTTAGAGCAGTAAGCTCACTCTGTTGTACTTAAATTCGAGTCTTTCTCGTAAATTAGATTAATTTAAAGTAATTTAGACTATTTGAAAAAAGAAATACACAAAAAATTTTAACAGTATAAAGCATTTTGTGTTCAGTATGTGACAACAAACTTGGACCATTGAGTGTTGCCCAATGATTTAGCAATTATCAAAATGATATATCACCGACGTGTCACGACATTGGACATATTGTCACCTAAATGGTTACTACATGCACTTAAGTTATTAGTTGTTTAGTAAAAAGAAGGCCAAAAAGAACGATCTCTCTTCGAGTTCGAACAAAGAAGATCTTCAATAAAATCTCCCTTTCAAAGTTGCTATGCATTGCAAATAATTTCTTGGATGGCCTATCACTTTGCGACAAAATAATGAAACTTATTATCTACTTTCAAGCATTTAAAACATTTCTAAGAATATGAAGTTCTACATTGGAAACTTGATAAAATAAAGTGCAACGTATAATAAGTGATTTCGCTAGTAATAGTATTGAAACTTTTTGTATAAAACCTTACACCTACCGAATATGCATGTGGTTAAGTTGAGGACAATATCAATATTGGTAGTATTGAGTCGGGAGTCGGTCCCCCTAAAATCTTAAAATTAGCATTGAAACATTCCTTCTCTAGCAAAACTTTGTTGTGAGCTTCCCTTTCTTTCTTTCCACGAGTAACGGTTGTAACTTTTTTAACTTTTTACGTCTTACATTGTGTCTGTTTAAAGATGCAATTCTAGTGGTTCTCACTCTTTCTTTGAATTGATATAAAAGTTGTCAGTCAAGCATATCTATTGGCAAATTATGCGTGCAGGCAACACTTGGCCATCATGATTCTTGACTAACTTGTTTCTTGTTAATTATTTTTGCTTTTTGCTTTTGGACTGAACAAATTTTTGGTCTGTCAATCATATGAAAAGACGAATAGATATGTCAACAGTTGAAAGGAGAACGATCCACAGTGCAAATTGCGTTTAAAAAACTGCAATTTTTTTCGTGTCCTCTGAATCTAAACAGTTGTAGTATGATAAATGGAGGAGGTAAGTTCTTACATCATTCTATGTCTCAAATGTAGAAAATTAAATTTACACTACTTCTGCAAGTTCCTACATCCCAATTGTATTGTAAAGATTAGGTAGAAGACAAACAGCAAGAACTAAACATGATCTACAACAATTTATGCACCTGTTCGGGGATAGTCATGAGAAGTCATTTCGGTATCCTTTCTGAAGGTCCGTCTTTGTGAGGCAATTCCTGAAGATAAGTGACGAAAATCTAGTCATGAAAGTAGGACCTGAAAGTTCGAATAAAGAAGAGTACCTACCCAATTTTCAGTGAAGCTCTCCCGAATTTGATCGTTATATTCAGTATGAAGAATAGAAATTCTTATAAAGCAAGAAACAACAAAGCACAAAAAGAACAAAGTCTGCAACATTATGTAGTGCCAGATGCTCTAGAAGACAAAATCATGTTGGCAACAACCGATGTAGCAAGCAATCATTAACAGATTTTCCACTAAGAAGAGAGAAAAATCCAAAAGAATCTCACAACAATTGTGAATAACCCTATTCAATCTTTTACTAGTTCATGCATGCACACACACTCACAAACTTGATGGTGGATAGCAGGGCCTAAAGGAAACTAGAGGTTTTGATAACAACAAATTAATAAGCAAATCATAGTACGTTAGGAACTGGGGGAAATTTAAAATTAGTTAAAAGATGACCTCTTCTTGAATGAACTTCATTGCAACAAAAGCTTTATATTCCACCCTCCTCAGCTCAACTTCTTGTGTATCATGTCATGTTCCAGCCATGAATTATACAGTCAACTGCAAATGTGCCACAATATGTTAGCAGCTTATACAAGAAAAAGTAACAAAATATAATATTATAAACTCGGGTTGGAAAACATACCTAACCATAAGATAATTTGCTAGTAATGCAGCAGATGAATACGAGTCTCACCTATATAAGCAATCATCCCATGCCTTTCTCACATGACCATACACTGAAAAGTACTTCATAACTGTTTCAAATCCAGACCCCTCATGGTAGGCCTCAAACTACGTTATCAATTGTATAATTTGGAGGACCATGCAATAAAATTGGGCCATAAGGAGCATCTAAATAGTGTTTCCTTGAGGATAGACCATATTTGAACCTCAAATTCCTCGATTGATTTGAAAACCATATACCAACACAATTTTTAGCAAGTTCTCCTCATGGCATAATATAGTATCATCAATTTTGAAGTATAATTGTCTGCCTGCCATGGTCAAGTTTTTCAGTCTAAAAACAAATTTAACCAATTAACTCTGCTAGGCATGATTCCTGTCTCAAAACAAGTCTGTCCTAGGATCTATCCCCATTGCTATCACCAATAGTCTCCGCAAGAACACAAGCCATCCTTAAAATGATGAAATCTGTTAGCATCCCTCAATATGACCTCTCTTCCCATAACTTTGGATATTAATTTAATTGCAGAATGGCAATCACCACAAACGCGAAGATTCTTCATCACCCGAATGGGCATCCCTTGGGGTACCTTCAAGAGTCCATATGCTATGGCCAGTTTCTCACTGTGATAACCCAAGCTGTGTGCCTTTTCTTCTTCCTCCACATCATGCAATACAAAGCTGGCATCAGGGCAGTAACCAGCTTCTCTTAACAATACACCTAGTTTCTCTAACATTCTCATGATCATCGCATGGTCCGGGTGTCCCGTGCTCTCTCCCCCAGTAAACATATGAACATTTTTCTCCACCTCAATCCAGCTACAGCCAGGTGACTTGCTAACGCTTCTTGTTCTCATGTTTTTCCTCAGCTCTGCAACATCATGCCATCTACCCTGTGATGCATAAATATTTGATAGCAAGACGTAAGGCCCTGCTTTGTGGGGCTCAAGTTCTGTAAGTTTCTTTGCTGCAACTTCTGCCAAATCCAATTTCATGTGTTGTCTGCATGCACCTAATAAGGCACCCCAAACAACGGCATCTGCTTCAACTGGCATTTTCTTAATTAAATCCATTGCATCCTTTACCTTTCCTGCTCGACCAAGCAGATCAACCATACAAGCATAATGTTCAGTTCTTGGCTCCACCTGGTACTTTGATTTCATTGTCTCAAAAATTTCAAGACCTTTTTCTACCTTCCCACTATAGCTACATGCTGAAAGAACTCCAATAAAGGTGATCTCATCTGGTGATATACCCAAGGAGCACATCTCTTGGAAAACTTGTAAAGCTTTCTCTCCAAAACCATGTTGGGCATAACCGGTGATCATTGAATTCCACATAACTATATCCTTCGCAGCAAACCTGTTAAACACCTGGTTTGCCTTCACAAGGTTACCACATTTAACATACATTGTCATCAAAACTGAGGCAACATATACATCATGATCAAATTGGTTTCTCACCAACTGGGCATGAATTTGTCTACCATAATCAAGGCTGGCCAAGCTGCCACAAACAGATAGAACGCTTATCAAAGAAGGGAAATTCGGCCTAACACTTTCTCTTTGCATCAAAGTAAACAAGTCAAGTGCTTCCAATTCAAAACCTTTCCGTTCATAAACTTTAATCATCGCACTCCATGTCCGATCATCCCTCTCTCTCATATTATCAAAAACTTCCCTTGCTTTAGCTACCTCTCCATTTTGGCCATACCCAAGTATTATTGCATTACAAGCAACAACTGACTTATCTGGCATGGCATGAAAAAGCTCTGAAGCCTCTTCAATCCGTCCACACTGAGTGTAACCTATTAGCATTGCCGTCCATGAAACCTCATTTTTCTCCGGCATCACTTCAAAAAGCTTTCTAGCAATATCCACCTGGTTGTTATGCACATACCCAGATACCATAGTAGTCCAGGAAACAACATTCCTTCGCGGCATCTCATCAAAAATCTCACGTGCTTCTGCCAAACGGCCAACTTGAAAATACCCACCAATCATATTAGTCCTTGTCACCACATCCTTCTCGGGCATCTTATCATAAAGCCTACGAGCCTCATCAATCCGACCCTCTTGAATCAGGCCACCTAACATCACTGTCCATGAAACAACATTCCTTTCAGGCATCTGCCAAAAGAGTGATTCAGCCTCTGAAATCCTACCCTCTTGAACGTACCCTCTAACCATCGAAGTCCACGATACAATATTCCTTTCGGGCATCGAATCAAACACTTTCCTAGCCTCAATAATCATGCCATTCTTGACATAACCGGATATCAAACCGTTCCAAGAAACCGTATTCTTCTCCAGCATTCTATCAAACAGTTTTCGGGCTTCTCCTGGCTGATTACTTTGGAAGTAACCTGCAACTATTGAGTTCCAAGACACAATAGTTTTGTCAGGCATTTGATCAAACACCCTTCGGGCTTTCTCAATTTGGCCAAGCCGAGCATACCGAGCAATTTGAGAATTGGAGGAAATTGCAATACTAGTGCAGTATTTCCGAGATAGAATAAACCGAACTAGCATTGTTCGGCACAAAATTGCACTGCCCACATCAATAAAATACCAATTATTCAAAGATTATTAAATAATACCGTAAGTGAAATTCAAATATGACTGAAAATATGCCCAAACGATCAAATAATAAAAATATAAAATTTTATATTCGAGCTTAAGAGTGAAGGAGCAACAAGGTAACGTAAGTTATGATTTTAAAATAAAATAAAAAACCTGGTGGAATGGAGCAGATGCAGCAGCACAGCTTTCAGTGGAGAAGAAGAAGTCCGTTCGACATTATTTTTTCTTTCTTCTTCTGGTTCTCTGAGTTGGTTCGTGCCGCCGTTTATTTTCAAATGGGAAAACCTGGCCTTTCATCTCTCCCTCGAGAGAGAGAAGAGGCCGGGTGTGATTTGGCCAAGTTTTGAACATTAGATTTTGACCCTATATTTATTATAATTTTAAAAAAGGCTGCATAATCTTTCAAATAATTTCAAAATAACCCCATTCAGGTCATATAATCTGGTTCAAATTTGGAAATGTGCAGCTCTCTTTTTGAAATCTCTTTTTCAAAACATCTTGAGTTTCTTCAGACACAATCTGTATATGTCATACCAATGGTCTTCATATTGGCATCACATATGGTTTGGTACATTGGACAGCTCTCGGTTTCTTCTTGGGAGCTCCACTTGCAGCCTCAATTTCTCTATGGCTATCTGTTCTTATGTTGGCCTTCAATGTTAATTGTACAAAGAGTTTTGAGCATACATGGGAAAGATTTTTGTTCGAATCTCTCGATTATATAGTCGCAGGCTTAAAACTGGCACTTCCCTCTGCAACAATGGAATGGTAAATGGACATCCTTCGAAATTTTATACTTTTATCCCGAATCTCGAATAATGTTCTCTTGTCATACATACGTTAGATGAATAGTCTCACAGCATAACAACGACTCTGTGACACAATAACATTTTGTTCTACTCCTTCAAGTTCTCTATTAATTGTGTTGGAAGTTTGAATGAAATTCAAGAACCTTTGTCCCACATTGATAGAAAGTAGAAAGAGTGAGATCTTTATAAGTGTGGAAGTCCCACACTTAGTAAATGGAAGTGGGCCAAGTGGAAGCAAATTGGGCTTTGAATATTATATAAAATTATTTAATATTTAATAGTAAAAAAGATGGGCCTTGGGCCTTGGGGCACTTTTAGATTTAAAATTATTATTTTGGTTTCGAATTAATAATTTTTTATTAATTCGGATTAGTTTTATTAACTGTTTTTAACAGTTGTGACTCTTCTGATAAGGTTTCAGAAGTTTATTTAAATCAAACGAAGGCTTCGTTTGACACAGAAAAAGATTCTACAAGCATTTTCACATTGTCTGAGAGGAAGTCCGAGTGCTAGGGCTTAGAATACAAATAGTTGAATTCTGGGAGGCAGTCACCTGTAGAACTTCAAGCACCGAGAATGGGTGAAATTACTGTCTTTAGGACATTGCATCAACTCTGCAAGCCTCTATCTCGAATCCAAGTTAGTTTAATTTGTTGTTTATATACTATATTCTGTATTACAGATTGTTTTAAATTCTATTTATATAATTATTTTAAATAGTCACTAATTGTTGTTTTTCCAACAAATTGTTGATTCAGTTCAAGGTGTCTTTTCAGGTTGAGATCACTCACATTTCAACTTTGTTCTTCTTTTTCAGGTGTGGCTAGAGGATGTAAACTTGGCAACAATCTAGATAAATGTTAGGCAAAAGAAATAGTTAAACTGTAGCAACATACAGTCAATATCATAATTAAACATGGATTAGCATTAACCTTGCAAAAACAAGGACTGCAACAACTGAAATCTGCTGATCACTCACCCATATCTTACCATAAAACATTTCTTACAACTGAGATCTGCAACAACTAATAGTTTACTCATCACTGCAATGCCAGGTTCTCAACTATGTAGCCCTAATATTTGACACAAGAGGCATCCAATACAACATAACTATTTCCTCGGAAAATATGCATTTTCATTCCACCGCGCATGACGTTGACAAGCTCAAAAACCATTGTGTCCCCAAGTGAAATGTTGTTTGCTTGACAACATTCTGACCACCCTTTTGTCATGAGCAAACGACCACCGTTATGTTCTTTTTCATCAAGCCTTAGCTTAACATCCCATGATATCCCATTTGGGTCTTCAACCCTTACACTCGTCTTTCTAATGAGACCTTTAGCCACAGCCAGCTCCTTTGGGATATTCTGCAAATATGAACAACATTGAAGGGAAAGAAAATGCTCAGCCACTTGAGTTGGACATTTTTCAGTCCATCAAAAGGTTTTCTGAAGAGTTCTTTTACCATTTTTCCTTTCAGTAACAGAATTGGATTATGGATTGGGGTGACGAAAGTACTCACCAAGCGATAGCGGTTCTTCTTCATAGCTCGAATGAAGCATAGATGCTTCGATCTGAACAGAATAGGTGCATTTGGTGTTTCTTTCCCACCATCAGTTCTTGCAATCCTCTTTCCAGACTTGAGAGACTTGCCTATACAATTCCAAACAGAGCATGATCTAAAAAGAGCCTATAAAGAAAACTAGCACAAACAAAAATCCCCAAGCTTTAAAGAAATAAAATAATATACAACTTACGCTTCCTTATGTTCGACATACGAGCATCTTCTTCACTGTCTTCGTCAGGTTCTTCAGTGTCAAGCTCAATGATCTCCTCATTTACTCGAGCTTGATTTCCCCTTCTCTTCTTGGCTGGTTCTAACTCCTTCTCAGAGCCAATTGGATCATACAGTTCGACATCAAACTTGGACTTGCCATCATAATCAAAAACCAAAACATTTGCAATTTCCAAAGAATGGTCCTTCACAAAACGCTGCCAACCCTCATGGAAGAAAAATCTATCCCCTCTCACTTCCAAACACACTGTCCAACAGTCTCCACGAGGATCTCTAAGAGTACATTTGGGAGGCAATCGTCCATTGACATGGTCCATAAATGCAGGTGGTATACACTACAAAATTCAATAAAACTCTAGCATAAACATAGCATAAATAATTAAAACCATGCTACTGTGGACATCGGTACATCTTGAACAGAACTTTTAGGCTATGAGATCAACAAAAGGGCCAAACCACAATCAGTTAACCAATCGATGAAATTGCAGTCATTCTAAAGCAAAAAGAACAGAGAAAAAAGAAACAGAAATGGAAGAAACAAAAAAGGCAATCCATGATATGGAGCAGTCGTTTTAAAAACCAAAAAGATCAGAGAAAAAAGAAACAGATCTGGAAGAAAGAAAGAAAAAACTAAGGCAAGCCATGATAATGCAGAGACAAAAAAACAGAAATGGAAGAAAGCAAAAAAAGAAAAAAGGAAAAAGGCAAGCCATAATATTGCAGTCCTTTTAAAACCAACAAGATCAGAGAAAAAGAAACAGAAATGGAAGAAAGAAACTTAAAAAATATCACAAATCCTGTTAGAAACCTAGAAGATCAGCAACTTTCAGTTGAATTAGTCAGTAAGTTTCATTTAATTAGAGGGTTTCATATATAAATCCAAAAACAACTCTGCTTTTACAGAACAAAACTCTTTTTGGCAAACGGAGAAGTGAAAGCAATAGAGAGGTAGGACTGGATGTTACCAAACGCTGAGAGAAGTCACCAACCAGAACCTTGAAAAACGATGGTATCTTCAGTGAAGGCTTAGTTGGTTTTCTACCCATTATTTGGATGATAAGCTGGAATGTTATGAAGATGAAGATTAGAGATTGAACAAGCAGGGTGTTTAGTTTCAGTTTCCAACTGAGGAGCTCTCAGGAACAGCTTTTTTCTGGTTCTTCAATTGTGGATACGACAACTGTTCGGTTATGGAGATTTTAAGGAGAAGAAGCTCTTCTGTAACTTCTGTATTAGATCTTGTGTGCGTAAGCTCAGTTTGGATTTTTGCTTTGTCTTGAATTCGTTTGTTTTATTGCGGGATTTGGAAAGTACGTCTAATGGGCACATGCATGGGAAAGTGACTACTTCAGCCCCAGAAAAAGAAAAAGATACCAAAAAAAAAAACAGAGAGAGCAAATTTCTGGTGTTCATGGCTTAGTAAAGTAAAAGTAGGGGACTGTATACTAAAAATATCCGTGTGTATTTACTAATGTATGGAAAATATACTTGTACTATTCAACCTTTTGTAAGTACATGTATAATATATTTTGATTACAAAGAACATGTTTTACCACGCGTATGGTTCTTTCTTTTCTTTTTTCACGCATTAGACCGTTTTCTTTTCTCTTTTAATATGAGACACGATTAAGGTTAAAGATTAACTACATGTGACATGCAACCTGTGACTAAAGAAAAAAATAAAAGAGAGGAGGAAGAACTCATCAACTAATGATGATGGTTTCTTATTGACTACTTCACTTATGATTTTAGGTGAATTGAATATATTTGGTACCGACTAATTTCATCCATTCATAACTCTTCACTTTTTTCCAAGTCCATACATTTGAAATCGAAGATTCACAATTGCATGTGCACTCCTTGAATGAAAGCACATCATATACTCAATACAGGGTTGACAGTCTTGCCTTAAATGTATATATATTTGATGGAAACCAACTCATTGATAAGGCCATCTTGCTAGTTGTGAACTTGTGGTGTTGGTGTCAGCAAGTTAATTTCCTTTTCTTTTTTCGTATATTGCTTGGTAAAAGTGATTTGTCCAAAAATGGAGAATGAAATTGAGATCAACATCAACCAGCAATGCATGGGATTCTTTTACCTTCTCATCTCTCACCTTCCTCAATCAATTGCTCCAGTCATCAACTGAATGCTTTCATGTTACGATATCTCTCATCCATGTTGTTACTTTTTGTGGCTGTAATTAATTGTGAAGCAACATAAGATGCACCCACTTTTGGAGAAAGAAATTTTAAAATACATATGCTTTCACAATGTATATGCACTTTGATCATATGGCTTGTGCACACTGAATTATTTGATCCAACAGAGACAGAGAGATTATAAAAACACTACGTTGCCACATAGTTGATGGCCTCTTTTTTTTTTATATATTTTTTTTATTTTAAAACCACTATGTAAAGTGTTTTTAAGTACTTTAGAAGGATATTAGAGGATAGGGAGCAACTCATTATTTCATAGATAATTACTATGAAATTATCAATTTATGCAATGATACAATATTCTGAGTCTAGTCTCTCTCACTCTCTCTCTCTCTCTCTCTCTCTCTCTCAGATTGTGCCAGTCGTCTCTCTAGATTCTTCCGATACACTGACTAGTATTCTATGTCAGTTACATTTTCAATGTTGATAGATTCATAAATGACTTGAATTAGGCTATAAAATGAGTGTAGAATGAATCTGGAATTTTATGGAACAAAACTCCACTTCTCCAGAGTGACATACCTAAGTTTTAAACCCTTATGCACTTGAATTAATGATGGTGAATTTGTAAGCAAGTATAGGTGATGTTGCAATACAACCTTGCAGATTGTGTTATCTTGTTTTAGAGCCTTATTTTGAGTTATGTTTGATATGTTTAGCACATATCTAAGGCTCTTTACTCAAATTAATTTTGTGGTTTGCTCACTAAAGTGTCATAGACTTGCTTTGGAATCATGATAAATATATATGTGTTGCTCTTACGGGTGGACATTTGAACCGGTGCATTGAGTCGAACCGAGTCAAAAAAAGGGCAAAAACCGTATTGACAAAAAAAGTCAACCTATGCTCAAAACCCGAATTGGACCGTTTTGGATTGGTTCTCGTCCCAATTCTTGTCTTGAAAAAACTGATATAAACCTAATCGGACTGGTTATGTTAAGTTTACTTATTTATTTATATCCAAAATTATTAGTAAGCCTAATTAATATTCAAATTATATTACTAACTCCAAGTAATATTTTAGGCCAATTAATACCCAAATGTCTTAATTCCAATTTATACCCAGCTAATAACAACTCTGGCCCAACTTCTTTTTCATTTTTGGTGAACCATACCCATTTTTCTCTCTTTTCCACCTATTTATTTCTCTCTTCACCTCTCTCTCTCTCTCTCTCTCTCTCCTACCTCTTTCTCTATTATTGTATCTCTTCTACTGATTTTTCTCTTTCTTCTTATTCTTCTCTTCTCACATCTTCATGTTTTGCAGGTTGTCTAAAACCTCACATTTCTTGACTCCAAACATATGACAACATAGAATTCCATCGGATTCAAATAATTGCATGAACATTGAAGATGTTGGTCTTTCTGGTAATAAATCACAATCCATTTCTCATCCAGCCTTCCAAATTTGGAAATTTTGTAAACATGGGGCTCGTCATTATTGCTTACGGGTAGCACCAGAATTAATTTTGGTTTCTTATTTATCTCATTTCTTATCAACTTGTAAATGTCATGGGTAAAAATAAAAGTTGCATGTTCCTCTAGAAATTGGAGGTGTATAAAGGGAGTGGGTGTGAATTCTTCGAATCAAAATCATCCTTCACATTCTCATTTCTCAACTTCAATCGGGATCTTCAATCTGCGGAATACACTTCACTAACTTCATACCTCTACCAATTCCATCCTTCGAGTTCTTATGCATACCCTCAACACTTTGTGTGGTTCGCACCAAAAAAATGACTCGAGCAATTAGCTTCAACCCATCTTTTCCGTTTGTGGTATATCATTTTGATCCAATTGCCTTTTAAATCATGTGTATCTATCATATATTGCCAATGTTGTTGGAACGCCACTACTGTCTAACCACCGTGCATATAATAGTTGAACTCCCTTACAATTTCTGGGTTATCCACATTGGAGTTCACATTTCTCATGATGTGCCATGAACATAAACAATGATATGCATCGGGAAAAACTTCATCAATCAAAAACCACATTGAGTCATCCCTATCTGTGACAATAGATACAAGCTTCTTGTCCTTCATAGAAGTAAAATACGAATGGAGTAGCTGCAGTCTCACCACTAAAGGCTTGTCATATCAGTTGGTCTTGTACGTACTATACAATCCCATATTTTCATACAAATATAAACAAATTTCAATACCCAATTGATTAATACAATTGGAAATTACATACCAACTAATCAACTACAACATTGATTCTGATTTTATCAAATTAATGCAAAGAACAAAAAGCCAAACAAACACATTACTTCTTATTCTTCTGCAAGGCATTTCTGAGAAAGCCATTAACCATATACTCTGTCACTGTTGACACAGAACCTCCTGGCACATCAAGCACAACACCATAGAAGCTACCACATTGAGGTGGTGCCAATCAGCAAGTTTAATGGCCTCGTTCCAGAAATCATCTCTCTGATTGAATACAAAATCTACAACATAGGGACCATGCAAGTGAGGTATTAATAATAAAAAATTAATAGTTTTTGGAAACTAGTGCAATGAAAAGACAAATCATTTATTCTTCCATAACTCAATTCTCTCAGCTCTTCCCACAACTTGACATACCTAATCCCATATTTTCATAAATACAAATAATTGATTAATACAAATCAAATTAGAAATTTCAAAACCCAATTGATTAATTGACATCTTACAAAGCAGAGTAAGACAACAAAACAAAAACAAAAACTGGGTATGATTCAAGAATTGAAACAAACCTTAGTTCTAAGAGGGTGGGATTGAAGTGGTATGAGCTATTTTCTCCAAGCCCCATTGAGTATCTCAGACATGGTTTTGCAGTTGCGAATTAAGAGGAAGATATAATAGGCACAACTGGGTTTTCGAAGAAGGAAGAGAGAGGCTTCGCTTGGGATGAGGTTTGAGTTTTAGTTGTAGAGAAGAGAGAGGCTTCGAATGTGAGTGTAGTGGAGGGTTTTCTTGGTTTTGTTTTGTTTTGGAGTCCAATTAGGTGTGAAATGGTACATAATATGACATTCTACTAACCAATTGTTGTTTGACACATGTACATTAAATAAAATTAATATTAAATAGAGTTATATCGGTTCGGTTTGGTTTAGGACAATTTCAAAAACGCTCAAACTGCAACTGAACCAAACCAACCCGGTTCGGATCGGTTTTTCAAACTGTCGACTTTTTCTTTGGTAAAAATCAAACCAAACCAAACCAAACCAAACCAATATAATCGATTCGGCCGGTGTAATCGGATCGGCAGGATTGATGCCCACCCCTAGTTGGCACTCATTATCAAATCCATTTTTTTTTTTCTTAATAACCAAGTTCTCGGTTAAATTTTATAGTTTTTTAGTTAAATACCTAATTCTCCACCTAGTTCTATTGCAAAACCCTATACCATTTAATCTTTACAAACATTCTCAAAATAAACTCAAAAATCAACAATTGTATATTTTTTAATTTAATTAATAAGATGAAATACCTTTACTACCCTTTTTAGCATTAAATTAGTTTTGGATCTCGTTTAAATTAGAATGCAGAGAACATAAAAATTCCCTCTCCTACTTCAAACCCTCATCTCTCCTTTGTTATCTCCCTTCTTCCCTGTAGATTTGACGTGTCAATTGCCAGACAAAGGTGTTCAGAACACCAACGTCGGTGGTGATTGCGAGAAGAAATAAGATGAAGACGATTTCTCTTTCACCTGCACCAACCCCAACAGATTGCCGATATATTCCAAAATGGCTAGATCTGTCCGGTGTTCGCAATTGTCAACCAGGATCTCCTGTTCTCTGATGCCGACGACGACTATTGTTCCAAAGCTAGAGTGGCTACTGCTTAGAGCAACTCCACCCATTTGCCATTAGCCATGGCAAGGGGGAGTTAGGGCAGCCACTATTCATGTGAATAGTAGTTGCCCTTACAAATAGTATTTTCCGTTTCCACCCGTTGCCATGGCAAAAGGCAATTACTATTCATTTTTTATATTTTTTTCACAACTTTTTTTACCATAATAATATTTTTGGATAAGA